GCTCCAGCGCACAAAGCTTTGTCCTCATTTCCAACATCGCAGGTGAAGAATTTTTCTGAGTCACAGGGAAACACAGCAGGATGAATGAAGTGAAATGATCCTTTAAAGTAACGAGCAGCAGCAACAATAAACTCTGTTAATGTGGATGAATGCAGCTGAAGAATTACACCTCCTGACAGGAACCGGTTCAGTCCACACAGACGGGAAGAAAACAGCTTCACAACTACAACAAAGGCCTGAAATGAATCAGCTCAGTGTGTTTCTTCACTGAGCAGCAGCTCTTTCAGCCTTACTCGTTTAAAGACTTCAGTTACGTCTTTAAACTGATTCTGCATCTGAAAGACACACTGGATAAACAGTGTGAATTAGAACGATCTTATGAAGAGCAATACTTACTGATATTTATTCTTCATTTAGAGAGCACTCCTCGTGTTGTATTGTACACAATAAAATCATATATCACAATAAAATCAGAAAAAAATAAACAAAACCTTAGAAAACTATGAACCTGTATTTGAACTCAATCTGAGGATTTAAAATGTGTCCAGAATCAAAACATTACAACTTTATTCTCAAAATACGATGCATTACAGAAGAAATATTGTGAATTTATTGTTTTAATATTCTGAATGTATTCCTTAAAGCCGGCCTTTCATACTTACGGCTTTGATATCGGTCTCTGTTTATTACTGATAATCCAAGCTGACGACGTTTTTCCGTGATTATCGTCATGATGTGAACATTTTTCAGAGCTGAAACAATAGAATAAAGTCATGATAATCATAATTATTGTGACTATTTTAATTAGCAACAGCAGCAGATGAACACAGAACAGTTTGTTCTCAGCTGCAGATGTAAACAGTCTCAACATCAGCACTAATATTTCATAAAGGACTCCAGTTCACCTGTATCGCCATAGCAACCGCAGCCGGATTTTAATTGGAGCCTGCGGCCAGTCTGCATCCCTTTGATCTTCAACACACACACACACACACACACACACACACACACACACACACACACACACACACACACACACACGCACACACACACAGAGCTTTATTCAGGTTTCTGCAGCTCTGCTCTGACTCTGTTACCAGAAGATGTTTGTGCTGCAGGAGAAGGTCTTTTGGTGAATCTTGAGGATGTNATTTGACAGATCACACAAATATTCCAGTGTGTGATGGTCTGAGTGACTCTGGCCTCGTCAGTGATTAATCAGTGATCAGAGTTATCATTAACTAATCGACTGATGAAGAGATCATTCAGTTCCTGCAGATCAGTACCTGCCTTTATAGTGACGATCATTATAAATTTAGGGTTTTCAGGGTGAAATTTGTATTTTCTGTGCTGAGACGGTTTCAATCTTTAAACTCTGACGTTAGCATGAAGCAGGAAAGCTAATGCTAACGCTAAAACACAACACCTGCCGGCCAACAGGTGAGTCAGAGGCTGAACTTTAAAACAAGACAAACATTCATCTAAACAGCAGAATCTGAGTCTTCATCATCCACCTTCTGTTGAGCACTATTTCTGATTTGTTGCTAATTCAGGCTGCAGCTGTAACGTGTCTGTGGGAGTCTTGAGCAGGATGTGAAGCAGTTTTCAGGATAACGCTCCTCCAAGTGTTTCAGAGCAGCCGAACCTCCGCATGAAGCAGAACTGGTCCGTAGGTGTTTAAAGAAAAATTCATTTCCACACCAGTTTAAATTAAGAAGAGTCTGCTGCACTGATTCAGCTGTGACGAAGGATTTAAATGTAATCAGGCCTCAAAGAACATTTCAGGAACCACAACCACATGATGTTTTATGTTTTGTACCATTTCATGAAGAGAACATTCAGTGTGAAGAAATCAAAGCTGAGAGTTGGTTCAAACTACAAACTTGTGAGAGTCTCTGGCAGCAGACAGCAGTCTGATAGTTGAAAACCTTTGGTTTCTGTTTAAAGCAGCTGATTGCAGATGATTCAAACCCTCCATCTGTTGTCAGAACACTTTGACCCATTGAACCACAGCAGCTCTGAACAGCCAACAAACAGACCATTTCCGTGCTTTTATATTCAATTCAATTCAATTCAGTTTTATTTATATTCACAGCACATGTCCTCTCTCAGCCTCAACAGGTACAGACCTTAGAACCTTGAACAGAGAACCCAACAATCCAGAGCAGCCTTCAGACTCCCTCTGAGCAAGCAGTTAGTAACGGTGGGAAGGAACCAAAAGAACCCCAACAGGGAGGAAAAAAAACAAACCAGAACTAGCCTCAGGGAAGGAGGCCCTAACCCTAACACAGAGTTAGTGACATGTAATGGTGGTTATAACTGTATGGAAGGAGGAGAGGAGAGGAGAGGAGAGGAGAGGAGGATTCTTGGATAAAACCAGGGTCCTGTAGGTTAGTTCAGTCATTTGGTTTGGTGGAGTGTCTCCAACCAGCAGATTCAGTTTCCTCTCAGTGAACCTTTGAAACACAGAAGACATCACAGCTAGAAGGTTCTGGATTGAATCTGGGGACTTTATCTGTGGAGTCTCCATGTTCTCCCTGCTGGGTTCTCTCTGGGTTCTTCGGCTTCCTCCCTCAGTCCAAAGACATGCTGAGGTTAACTGGTGGATCTAAACTGTCTGTGGGTGTGGATGTGAGTCTGAGATGGACTGGTTACCTTTTCAGGTGAACCTGCCTTTAGTCAGCTGGGATAGACTCCGCCCTACAGAGGATAAAGTGTGTAGAGATGATGGATGGATGGAACGTGATGAAGTCACAGCTGTAAAAAGAGCCATCAGTGATGATATAATAACTGACCAGTCTGATCAGGTTCAGCTGCTGCACGTTTCTGTTACATCTGAGACGTTGGAACATCAAAACTCATGCAGTTTTCAAATATCAGAAACCTTGGTGACTGATTGGACGGACTAGTTGGACTGGTTAGACTGACTGGGTGGATGGACTGGTTGGACTGGTTAGACTGACTGGGTGGATGGACTGGACGAACTGGTTAGACGGACTGATTGGATGGACGGACTGGTTGGACTGGTTTGATTGACTGGATGGGCTGGTTGGACGGACCAGACCCAGGACCAGATGGATCAGGGACAACAGATACCATGACTGAGAGGAAACCACAAAGAAAAAGCGTCTACACACAGACACCAAAGCACCACAACAACGTGCTGCTGCTGCCAGAAGCCTGATGTCTCTGAATCAGAGCCTTGATGGAAACTGGAGCTGAAACTGAAGCTGCTGAAGCTGCTGCAGTTGATGCAGTTGTGACGGCAGTGGCGGCTGGTCCATAGGGGGCACAGGGCGCCGCCCCACTGCTACTAACGACCAGATAAAAAGTAGTTCTCAAACACAATATTAAATTTGAATTAATTGTAACAAATAATAATAAAATCAATAATAATGTTCTTATTCTTTTGCCATCTTAATAATATTTGTATTATTAACAGATTCAAAATGAGTCTTCACTGCGTGTTCACTAATTCTACACTTCCTGGATGCGGGGCGCGACCACATGAGTGTAGCTCCAACAACTTTTCGTGATCATGTGACCTCGGCCTGGGCTCTGATTGGCAGCTGCAGACTTTCTCACGGAGTGCAGCTCTGTGTGTCCTGGATCCGCCCACTTTCACTGTAAGCCAATTACTTTAGTCTTCATTTGCTTTTGTCTTTGACGTTCTTACGACTGCGCTTTAAATACGAATCTGACCCGTCACACACATAGCTATGTGTAATAAAGGCCTTTATTATACATATCTGACACGTCAACACGGCCTTTCCTCTGCTGCTGGATCACAACTGCTGACTGATGACTACATGCATCGGCCTGCTGTCAGTAGACAAGACGCTGCTCACTGAGATGAGTGACTTCAACCAAAAAGTAACAGAGAAGTTTGCTGAGCAGAAAGAGAGAAGATCCATGAACATGAAGCTGTATTAGTGTCACTGTAACCGGCACAGGAAGCTGCTGTGTGGACCTCAGAGGTGGAAAGTTGGACTTTTATACCTTCAGTGTACTTCAGCGGTATTTGCACTTAAAATGAGGTCTTCTCATGACAAACAGAGCTGCATTCACCGTTTTTCTGTTCATAGAAAAGACGGCGTGTAGAATTCATATAAGTGGGTTTAACCTCGGACAGATCCGACACCAGAACGCCCAGTTTATTATGTTTAAAGTCATTCCTGGTCACACACCTGTCAGAGCACCACAGCCACCAGCAGCAGCTACCAGTCTGCTGTGTGGGGCGTTCAGGGGGCGTCAGGAAATCTATCAATAAGAAAATGTTCAGCAGGTCATACGTTCTGTCTTTGACCAGCTGGGAGGTGGAACAAAATGAGGAAGTGGGTCGTCATGGTGCTGCCCGTGAAAGAGTTCGTCTGGAGCCCTGAACAGTGCTTTTATAATTTCTGTTGTGTGTTTTGAGTTTGCACAGATCCTGTAAATACTGATGAGAGTGTGATGAATGGTTCTGAAGTTTAGCTCTGCTCAGTCTTGATAATATTAAATTAGATGATGATTAGAACATCCTCCAAAGGTAGAACATTTGCAGTCCTGTAAGTAGTTGTGCCTGATGTTACTCATGTTCTAATTTCTGATTTAAAAATAAAGGTCATTTGCAGACTGCGCCCCCACCAGACAAGTCCACCAGCTGGACAGGTGTTCCAGATGAAGGTCATGATGTGCTTCCTGTCAGTCTGAGTGGAGCGAAGTCAAACCCACACATCCATCTTCTACACAGAGACACACACTGCACTAATACTTAGTTTATTTTAAATATCTATGTATAGTACCATGTGACCTCAGCAGCATTATTTACGATGCATGCTACCAGCACCTCCCACTGGACACCAGTGGAATTGCGCAGAGCTGATGAAAGGTACATTCAGGGTATTTTCAACACTTTAGTTCACAGTCCTGCAGATTTAAAGAGGCAGACGATTCTGATTCTTCTTCCGATCATCACACAAATCTTGATTCTGCAACACAACCCAGAAATATTCTGTAGGTCCAACATTGTGAGGATTTTATTGGTTTCAGTTTCCACTAAACCAGCAAAAGCACATCAGAAGGAGTCGTCACTGGACTTTCATACAGACTATATCTAATTTTCTGTTAAACCACTGGGTATAATATGACGACACAAACCGTGCCAACTTTAGTCCAAACTTCAAAGGAAAATCCACAAGTTTTTCTCCAAGCAGAGAGCAGAAATATTTTTATTGTCTTCATGTGTTTCTGCTGCACTGAACTCTGGGTGATGAAGTTTAAATACAGTCAACAAATACACTCTATTAAGTTAATGAGCACTTTTAAAAGCTTGAGACAGTTTTATTAAACATGACATTTGTTCAGAAACACTGTGATCCTCAAAATAAGCAGTTTTTTTACTTCTACTTTTTGTGCGTCTTGACAGCAGTTTGTGTTTTTGTACAAAGTTCAGCTGGTCACTTCCTGAAGTCTCTGGACGACTGCAGACGCCACCGATCGATACGCCGCCGCCTGAAAGCAACAGCATCAAACCGTCAGTCTAACAAATGCATACACAGAAGAACCGGTGCCATTTCTGAATATCCACATGAAGAAGAATCAGTATATTTTACATTCTACTGATGCTCCTTCACGTCTGCAGTAAACCAAACTCCCCACCTAACACCGCATTAGTTTATCTTAAACTCTGTTCATTTCTGTGTCTCATCTGTGTATTTTAACAGTTTTATCTGATTTTATATCATTTTGCTGTTGCTGTGGAGCATGATGTATTTAATGGTGTAACTGTGCTGATTTTACCATTGATACAGTAAAACAGACAAACAGACAACAAAAATGAATCTGACTTAGAAGGTAGATCAAAAAGCAGCAGAACACAAGAGAACAGAATAGACTATATGAGAACAGAACCGACCTCGGGGCTGTCTGGACTGGACACGACCACCGGCTGTCCTCTGTCCGAGGTCTCTCTGATGTTCAGGTGCAGAGGAACGTCGCCTGGACGGAGACAAACCGAAGCAGGTGAGAGAAAAATAAAAAGGTTTGAATTTGTCTTTACTAGAAGCTGTAACTTTCTGTAGGATCCAGAAAAAGTCTACAGAATAATTTCATCATCACTATTTTATCTGTGCTCAGGTGAAGGGCAGACCTAAGAACTGGACTTCCAGAGTGTCAGCGAGCTGTCGGGCCCCATCAGAACCGAAGATGTGGGTCTGATGATTGCAGTTGGGACACTGGAAGACGCTCATGTTCTGCACCAAACCCAGAACCTGCAGGAACAGAACCGACAGACGTTCTCCGTAATATTCACCTGCATTCAGACCAACAGGGGCAAACCTGCAAACACCAACGTACCGGAACGTTCACTTTCCTGAACATCTCGGCTCCTCGGCGAGCGTCAAGAAGAGCGACGTCCTGCGGCGTCGACACGATGACCGCACCTGCACGACATGACAGCCGTCACATGATGTCACAAGATTTAATCCTCAACATTCAGGTCTGACACTGTCCCAGAATAAAGGAGACATCAGCTGAATATATCCAGTTCTCCTGCTGTGACTCCACACTTTCATGTAGTGCTTTTAGTACCGTACAGATCAGCAGGTTTACAGAAAAACATCATCACCAGGAAACAGTTTGGTTAAAGGGAGACACTTCTTCCAGGCCAATTAAATCTGAACTCTGACCAGAACCTGGACCCAGTTAGCATCAGTTACCATGGAGACTTAACTCCACAACATCAGTTACCATGGAGACCGAACTGCACAGCATCAGTTACCATGGAGACCTAACTGCTCAGCATCAGTTACCATGGAGACCTAACTGCACAGCGTCCGTTACCATGGAGACCTAACTGGACAGCATCAGTTCCCATGGAGACCTGGCAGGTTAAGTCTCCTTAGTGACACTGAAACCTCACTGACCCACTGATCTCATTCTGTAGTGCAGCAGGTCTGTTGCATACACAGTTACACACCGAGGACTGAGTCATAAACGGAGGACTGAGTTAGGGTTACCTAACCCTAACCCTTACCAGCTATGGGGATGTTCTGGGTGATGGAAAGCTGGACGTCTCCGGTCCCAGGCGGCATGTCGACCACCAGATAGTCCAGCGAGCCCCAGTCCACCTACAAACACACAAACACCTCACGTCTGCGTCACCACAACCAGACACCTGAGCCGACAGGTAAGCGTCTCACCTGTCGGAGCAGCCTCTCTATAGCAGACATCACCATCAGGCCCCTCCACACAATGGGAGCCACGTCCTCCACCAGGAAGCCCATGGACATGCTGAGGACGAGTCACAAGCTGTGTTGGTGACACATCGGCCGTGTCCGATTCAGAGGCTGCGTCCTTGAGGTCTGGGTCCTTTGAAGGACGCCGAGGCTGCATCTGTGCGTTTGTTAAATCAAACGGTCTAACCCACCGCGGACTCCTGTTGCCTAGCAACTCGGACTGCCGAATTTCTATCCCAAGGATGAGAATAAGACCACGTTGAAATTTAACCTAATTTTTTGACTGATCTGAATCACAAAACTGAGATTTTGTTTTTACTATTTTTTCTATACTTGAAGAAGTTGAGGTGCTCGTCCAGACTGTACCAGACTAAACTATCTGAAAGACAAGAGCTGTTCACAGCTTGCTGAACATTCACGCTCATACGAACTTAAAATATTACAAAATTGCTGCAATCTTTGTCAAATACATCTGAAACACTGAAGCTGAAGCTGAATTGCAGCGGCTCAAATCAATAACGTCACGTAACTTCCTCGAGTTTTCAAAACAAATTTTAAGTTTGTAAAGTCTGTTGCTTTTAAACGTTTGTACCATTAGCTAGTGCAGTGAGCTGGAACATTAAACATATGGTCCTCAGCCGCTGATAAATCATCTGTTAGTTGTGAGCAGGTAAAACTCCAGCTGCTGATCAAACTGTCACCAGTGAATCTTGGGACATGAGGGGCAGCAAAGGATCCACCTGATGCTTCCTTTGCTGCCGCGGAAGAGAAGGACGCCTTTGAAGGACTCTTCATGTCTTAATGAAATGGGACGGCCTTCTTCACGCCACTGTGACGCATTTGGCCTGCAGATGCAGTCTCGGAAGGACGCAGCCTCTGAATTGGGACACGACTATCAAACAGCTAAATACCGAGCAGAGTGATGTGACGCTGTGATCGACTCACCAGCGAACGCCATAGTTGGTCAGCGGGATCATNAGTCTCCTTAGTGACACTGAAACCTCACTGACCCACTGATCTCATTCTGTAGTGCAGCAGGTCTGTTGCATACACAGTTACACACCGAGGACTGAGTCATAAACAGAGGACTGAGTTAGGGTTACCTAACCCTAACCCTTACCAGCTATGGGGATGTTCTGGGTGATGGAAAGCTGGACGTCTCCGGTCCCAGGCGGCATGTCGACCACCAGATAGTCCAGCGAGCCCCAGTCCACCTACAAACACACAAACACCTCACGTCTGCGTCACCACAACCAGACACCTGAGCCGACAGGTAAGCGTCTCACCTGTCGGAGCAGCCTCTCTATAGCAGACATCACCATCAGGCCCCTCCACACAATGGGAGCCACGTCCTCCACCAGGAAGCCCATGGACATGCTGAGGACGAGTCACAAGCTGTGTTGGTGACACATCGGCCGTGTCCGATTCAGAGGCTGCGTCCTTGAGGTCTGGGTCCTTTGAAGGACGCCGAGGCTGCATCTGTGCGTTTGTTAAATCAAACGGTCTAACCCACCGCGGACTCCTGTTGCCTAGCAACTCGGACTGCCGAATTTCTATCCCAAGGATGAGAATAAGACCACGTTGAAATTTAACCTAATTTTTTGACTGATCTGAATCACAAAACTGAGATTTTGTTTTTACTATTTTTTCTATACTTGAAGAAGTTGAGGTGCTCGTCCAGACTGTACCAGACTAAACTATCTGAAAGACAAGAGCTGTTCACAGCTTGCTGAACATTCACGCTCATACGAACTTAAAATATTACAAAATTGCTGCAATCTTTGTCAAACATCTCAAACACTGAAGCTGAAGCTGAATTGCAGCGGCTCAAATCAATAACGTCACGTAACTTCCTCGAGTTTTCAAAACAAATTTTAAGTTTGTAAAGTCTGTTGCTTTTTAACATTTGTACCGTTAGCTAGTGCAGTGAGCTGGAACATTAAACATATGGTCCTCAGCCGCTGATAAATCATCTGTTAGTTGTGAGCAGGTAAAACTCCAGTTGCTGATCAAACTGTCACCAGTGAATCTTGGGACATGAGGGGCAGCAAAGGATCCACCTGATGCTTCCTTTGCTGCCGCGGAAGAGAAGGACGCCTTTGAAGGACTCTTCATGTCTTAATGAAATGGGACGGCCTTCTTCACGCCACTGTGACGCATTTGGCCTGCAGATGCAGTCTCGGAAGGACGCAGCCTCTGAATTGGGACACGACTATCAAACAGCTAAATACCGAGCAGAGTGATGTGACGCTGTGATCGACTCACCAGCGAACGCCATAGTTGGTCAGCGGGATCATTCGGTTATCTGGAACATAAAACAGTCGGTTCAAACAACATGTTTCGCAGCGTCAGAAACCTGCAGCTGAAGGAAGCGGGCGTACTGTCGCTGAGCTCCGGGTTTCCCTTCAGGTTCATCAGTTTGGGAATCGACGGGCCGTAAACGTCAGCGTCCAACAGACCGACCGCCTTTGACTGAAACAGAAGAGAAAGATTCTGCTCAGACGGGATGAACTAGAAAAGGCGACACTAATCCACCGGAAACGTAACATCACGTTTATTCCTGTGCCACGTGTCAGTATGTGAAATGAATGTGTGACGACGGCTTTCTTACCGGATCATTGGACATTAA